TCGGTGAAAACTGCATTGCAATAACGTCAATCGTTCAAAAGTGATAGATGCTAAAGTTACGCGTCGCACTGTATATGCATACACATTTTCTTAGTAATTTTTAGTACATAACTATTATCCGGGCGCTAGTTAAGGGTTTACTCGGAAAATGGGTTAGTTGAACTCGTGCCGTGTATTACGTATTACGAAGTCAGTGGTGCTACAGAATTGCACACTCTATTAGTTAGAGATCTAATTTCTTTGGTCTAAGGTAGCATTTCGGACTAGTCACATAACCTCACCGGCTGCCATCTATCGCCGCCTAAAGTAAATTGATTTTAGAAGTTCTCAATTTGTCGCTTTCCTGATAGTAGAACCGAAATATTACTTTAATAATATTAGAGAAGAGTAAAATCTCGCCCTATTAGGAAATTTTCGTTGAAAACTTTGAAGCTCTTTATGGCGTTTATGAATTGTTGAAAATGCGAAATTGAAGCTCTTTTTTACCGAAATATTTTGATTTTCCGAAAAACTTTATTGGAAGTCATTCGAAACACTTCCACTTTCAAATAAAATCCATACAAATCACTGAAAATGTATTTAAGATGTGAGGGATATTTCAAAAAGATTTCAATTGTGATTTTTGCAAAAATAAAATAATATCCCAAAATGTGTTCATGTAATCTTCCAGTGAAATTAATACTATCTTGCGAAAAGTTTAGGAAAAAATATGTAACATTTTTTGGAAGTGGCCTCTGAAAGTTTCTGAAAACGCAGAATTTAAAGCTATTTTCCTAGAAAGCCTTAGAGTTTTCGTGAAACTTTAAAAGACGTTAAAGCCCATGTACTCATACATACAATACTGTCAACAAATCACTGCTGGTGTAAATATTAATGACGTGAGAGAAAAGTAAACAATTTATTTTTTATAATCTTTGAAAATACAAAAGAATAGAGCAGAATGGCGTTTGTCATCTTATAGAGTACATTTAGCACTATCCCTAACAAAAGTTAGTAAAGTTTTTGGGAAATTCTTGTTTTAGAACAGCCCTACTAGGAGCAGCTATGCATGTTTATTCATCACTCTCAGATATTGAAACGTTTTCATTATACTTGTGGTATCTCACGTTGTCCAAGTTATATAAAACATTATGTTCAGGTTTGACAACATTTTGACTTCAATTTAACTTTTTAAAATAATTTTTATGAATGCCCGACTCCAACGTTCTTTTGTAGGATTGAGCAATACTTACGCGGATCAACATCCAATCCAGTTCGGAGTGAGTATTCTTTGAAAGCTTACTCTGTTGAAAAAATGAAATGGTTGATCTGAGGAGTTAATTAAGTTAATCAACGTTTTCCCTAGAACATATTGACATTGTTTATTAATACAAACATCGTTATTTTATTTACCAATTTTGAATTTATGAATTAATCAATGGCATGCCATTTTTAATATGTTATCCTTTAAAGACCTCTTGACTGTTTACTCTTCTCTTCGCAAAGAATCATGATATTTACTTGTAGGAGATTTTCCGCGTCGGTCACGGTTTGTGAAAGAGTTGCACCCGTCGGCTGCAGGCTGCTGAAGTGAAGAAGCTCCCGCGAATTCTCGATGCCCACCGGGAATCTTCTGATCTTCCATCTTGGTGTTAATATCGAACGAAAGTTAATTATTATAAATTTACTACTGACACAAACTATTTGCATTAAAGTATTTCATTGTCACGGTCAGGAAAGTCACGTGTGGACATTAGTATTTCGACACTACTTCAAATCGCTTTAACTGTAAATGGTCTTCCAACAAGGGTCTCTACCATATCTCACTAGCTTCTCACGTGCTCGCTTCAAAGACCAAATAGCTTCTGCGAAAAATACGGTCTTGATGAAACCTATTTTCATTTTCCCTATAACTTTTTTGTAAGTAATTTTTCCATTGACTTCCGTCTGCCGACGTTCGCCTATCCTGTCCTGACGCAGACACCTGTACTAAAACGTGTCACCATTGGTTGTCAATCTTTCCTCCATTCCGTTATGACGCTACCGAATATAAAAAAAAATGATCAAACACTCCTTAAATCGTCTGTATTTATTTTAAATTAGGAATGTGTGTGTACAATGTCCCATATTCAGTTTATTCCGGCCTCGCCATAAAATTTACGTTGCAATATTTGCACCTAATGCTTTCCCTGTCCAATATGGCTATCCTACGACTTCTTGCAAATATACTACGCTACTCCTATGTTGTCATTTCAGAGTACCAATGTTTGAAAATACTCTCACATTTCATTAATTTGTAAATCAAAATTTTCCTTAAGATATCTAGACATATCTCAATATATTTGCGAATTTGGACTATTATCACTTTCTTGTAAAAACTTCACTTGACTCGTCACACACTTTCTTGTAAAAACTTCACTTGACTCGTCACAAAGACTTTTCGAAACACGTTTTTCCAATTTACCTAACATTAATTCATTTTTCACGGTTGAGAGTTAGTTTTAAAGTTCTCAAGAATGCTCGTTATCACAACGTAAATGTACACTCCTGCAACTATAGGATTTTATTTTATGATGAAAATAATATTACTGATATTTTGTATGGCAATTCTTGGTCACTTAACTTTGCAAAACAACGCAGTGTTTCTCAGGTAGCTATGTTTACACAAATGACGATAAATCTGATGAGAAAGAGAGCTACACGGATCTGATCCACGAATACCTTAGTTAGCATCAGTTGTTTGTAAATAAACCCAAGAGAAGAGTTTCGTCAAAAACCTTCAATTGGCGATGTTGTGCGTGTGTCTGGGATTCATAACGCAAGTCTCGCGATGGCTTTACTATCATAATGTCATGCCAGCTGACATCATGTCAGGTCACTGAAGCTTTCTGGGGATGAGCGACCAGTCAGATGGCGAGTCATTTCACGTGCAAAATAAATTCATGATGTCATGGAGTACATTTCAAACTAGTAGTGCTACAAATGGCACATACTTTCTCGTATTAATTTTATATTTTCTTTGCTGGGCTAGCTATTCGGAATTGACACTTAGTCTTGCCAGCTGCCATCTATCACCGCCCCAAGTAGATATTTTTGACAAGTTTCTCAACTTTTCAGTTTTGTAATAGTAGAACCGAAATATTACTCAAAGAATACTTCTTCCTAGTGTCAATTTTTATTGAAATATTTGGAACCGTTCGTAAGAAAACGGCGTTAATGATCTAGGGTAAATTCTAAATTGGAAGCTCTCTTTCACAGAACATTTTTGCGTTTTCGAAAAACTTCAATATAAGTAATTTTAAACATTTGTGCCAATTTAAAAACAAACAAATAAACAAAGCAATAATGAATTTTATATAACCTTAAACAGTGCATCTAGCTCTATTTGTAAAAGATGTTTGAAGAAAATATTTGGAGCAGTTTTTAAGAAAATGGCGTTTGAGCATTATTGAAAATGGGGAATTTTGAGCTCCTTTTCACAGAAAACTGCAGAGTTTTTGAGAAACTTTATGCAACATCATTTATAGTAAATGTGCTCATAAATGCAGTAATGTGAACAAGTCGTTTCTAATGTAAATACTAACGACGTAAGGGACAAGTAAAAACTTTTTTGTAGTTTTTGAAAAAACAAAAGAATAGAGAAAAATGGCGTTTAGGACATATTATGAGTGCGTTTGGCACTATCTTTTCTAAAAGTTAAAAAAAATTGAAGTCGTTTATGATAATATTTTTTTGATATCTTTAAATATTGGATGTATTGCACGCAAACTACTGACAGTTTAAAAAATGTTCATAACCTGAATGAAAGAATTAATTATGGACAACACATTTGAAGGAAAAATCTCAATCTTCACTTTTGTAATTGTAGGAGGTCGACGAAAAAATTCAAATTTTTTTCAATTATAGAAAATTCAGGCTTATCAGTGCAATAGGACCTACGCCATCTTCAAAAGTGTATTTTACTCTATTCTTACAAGAAATTTAATAAATAAATATATTGGAGTCATTTTTCAGAAAAAATGAAACGTTTCCGAGGACTTCGTGTAAAATACCACCAAAAATTAATGAATATTTTTCAAAATAGTAGAGCTTACACTCTGGCGACATCGACAAGTGTTTCTTCAACTTGGAAAAACTCCTATGCATGGCTTACATGCTTGTATTCCATCACATCCTGGACGGACGCCTGCAATCAATCGAATATTCGGTAATTTTCTGCCCCCAAAACATGGATTGTTTACACGACGTGTTAGAAGATTTTTTTTCTTAATTTAGCAACTGTGTTTATTCACGCTTCGTTATCATAGTTCAGCAATATGAATTTTTCGGACGAAAATGCGTAGTTTTTCGCGCAGCATTACTAAGTATGTTACACAGTATATATTCGTACGTGAGATAATGGAAAAAAATTAACTTTTTCTGTTCCTTGAAGTTTTTTTGTTGCTTTACGCCGGATACCCAATGTAATCACGCCAATAACGGTAACTTTATTTCCCCACCCAAAGTTTCTTGTCCAAATTCGTTGATTTGTATATTTTCATATGAACATTTTGGAAATCTGAAGTGAAGCTCTTGGAAATGGATTGTACAACTTGGACAAATTAATACTTTCCAAGCAGGGTAAAACTCTCCCTCCGGAAGGTGGGGAGGGGGTGGGGCGTTAGTGGAGTCACTTCGCATCAGAGAAAACTGCGGCTGCGATGTAAATGCTTTTCCTCTGTGTTATTTCGGCTCATGGACCGGAGTCGAAACTCGCAATGGACGACATATTTGATTGAGAAATACTCTTCAGAGATATTGAGTGGTCAAACAAATATAGGTAGCCGTGGATATTGTTTCATAAAGAAATCTGAAGAGACTTTGTCACAGAGTAATTTCTAGGGCACTTTTTGTAATACCAATAACTACAGTAATATAATTGTTGCAGTTATTATCATTTTAAAGATATTTAGACGGTGTACATCGAAACGATGGGAACTGACGTTCTGCAGTATATATAATTGTTGAAACTATAATTTCAGACAGCACTGCAACGGCTGGCGGAGGTGTGTAGCAGGGAGCTGAAGAAGATTGAGTACGAAGAGTACGCGGCAGCGAAGGTTAAACAATGGGAGGAGCGGGCACTTGCCCGAGCAGCTGCGAACGAAGTGAATAGAAACGAGACCGTGAGCCATATGATGTCCGCTTCCTTCTGTCAACCTGCTGGCAACCCCCCTGGACAAACCCCTCTTATGTGAGTATGAGGAAGTTTATTCTGTGAAGGGTTGTCTCTCTTTTGCAAAGAAGCCTGAGCGTAAACATCGAATAATTTCTGAAACCCACGTCTTGCATTTCATCTTCCGAAAGTTTAAACAGCGAACATTGAAAAGCTTAACGATTTAAAAATTCGTCATAAACATTCCCCTGGAATGGTACAATTATTTTGATAATGTAGCCCTCTAAAAGGTCTAAAATAAATTATTTAAAGAGGGGGGCGGATGAAAATTTGAAAATATTTTCATTGAATTTAGGCTGTGTGTAAACCTAACTTTCCATTTTGTTTATAAAAATTGAAAATAAACCATTTAAGCAGGTCTTTATAAACTCTACTCATTTTGCAACCGAGCGACGTGGCTCGGTGCGAAGCGATGTGATTTCGCAATCGGGAGGTCCGGGTTCGATCCTGTAGCAGGCCATGCGGACGGGAGCTTTCGTGGTTGCCTTTATTCATAAGGCGAATGATGGGATGGTTCAAAACTGCCACGATCATCTCCCACAATCATCCTACTTCTTTCGGCCATCATCACCACCCGATCACTTCTTTCAACATTTCCTGCAAAAGGCAGGAGGACCTTGTTCTTAGTTGCATCTCGGTTGGCTAATAGTAGTAATAGTAACTCGTTTTTCTACTGGAAAAAGTTTGAATTTTGAGACAAATGATGCATAATGTTTAAGAAATTCATAAATTGTTAAAACGATTAACAAAGAAAATTATTTTGAAGTACATACAATTCTTTTCATTTTAAAACGTATTTTTTTTATTTTTATTTTTCAAGTGGGGATCAGAAAGGCCACCAAGCAACGATCATCGACGAGAATGGGAACGAGAAAGTGAGCCATGTAACGTACACTGTCTACTCCCAACCTGTTCAAAGTGCCAGTGGACAAATGCCTCTTCTTACGTGAGTATTATGGAATTTTTGTTCCCTACAGACTTTGGCGTGGTTCTCTTTCAGTTTGTCACTGTTTCTAATGCAGGCACGTGAGCGTAAATGCCCAATTTGCTTGCCCCTCCCTTGAAGTAGGTCTAAAAGATGCCTAAGGTTATTTTTACTGTTTTATTTTCTAGAGGCTAGGTTTTGAAAATCAAGGTTCCATTTCTTAGACCTCGCGAATGATTTTCAAAGGTTTTCAGTTCAGTTACGTGTCGTTGCGACGATTGTTAGTTATAAAAGAAAAAAATTAGTTTGTTCTCGCGAATTCAGGTAGGTCGGTGAGCCAGAACATGCGAAGACTTCAGCATAGGGTTGTACTTGACGCTGCGGGCAGTCTGATAACTGCTGACTTTAAAAACGTGACCTTTAATTATATGAAACATGAATAGGAAAGAGATTCCTTGGCAGCGTCAATTCAGCATTCTAAGAACATTGTGCTTTTTTTGAACAGTTGTTCCACGTTTATTCATTCAAGGCAGGTCACTCACGATTTCAGGTTTTACTCATTTGTATATCACATCGTACGGCTTTCTCGCATTTATTGAAATTTATGAACTCGGTTAGCGGAAATTTTAAACAATGGTACCTTCGGTCCACATTACATAGTTACGTAGTTTTATTTTTTTAATCTATAATTTGCCAACATGAAAATCAAATAACTTGTCAACGAGTTCTAGCTTCTTTCTAATTTATCTATGATGAACGAAACTAGTCTGAGGCAATAAGAGTAGCTATTGACATCTTACCTTCTTTTTTAAACACTTTTTATAACATTACTCATTATTTTCACAGAAAAATATTTTTCTAGTAATTTTTATAGTACTTCTTTTATACTATTATTTTCATTGTAATGCTGTAGGAAATAGTGCCGGTTTTTATTCAGAAAATCTATTCTGTTGGTCAATCATGCCAAAATTTTTCCTCTCCTTTTATGCAGTAAACGATTTTTTTCCAGAACATTCAGTAGTCAATCTCCATTAACGGTTATTGAAGCCGAAAAAGCGATTTTCAGCTGTGTGTCCGTCCAGCATTGGCGACTGGTGCTGCTATAACAATCGCCCTGGAAGTGCGCAGAAATAAACCAAGAGTTCTATCAAAGTCATTTTTACGTGTTGTAATTATGAATATCAGTATTTCATGAAAATACACAGATAAGTTAGTTTGGACAAAAACTACAGATTCGTAAATAAGTAGTGAAGGCAATGGTAAAATTCAAAGTTCAGTGAAGAGAGGCTTTCAGAAATCACGTAATCTTTTATATTATTTGAATATTTTTGTCTGCTATAGAAAGGTCTAGGTACAATAGAATGAGCTTCTCCAAAATATGTCATTGTTGACATGACTTATGGTAGAGCCTATACCTAATGAAAACTCAAACACAGGTTACAAATGTCGAAATAAATATGTTTAACTGGTCGAATATCGACATTGGGGGAAAAATATTAGTTCAAAGTTTCTTTACAATGCAGTACAATGCGTTCAATAGCAGTAAGATCCTTTCATTTAAACGTTTGAAATATCAGACATACAGGTTGGTATGTCTATTTCAATTTTAGTCTTGCTTTATGTTAAGATATTTTAAAGTGATGGGTAAAGTGTTAACGAGTTAGAAGTTGCAATATTATAATATTACCGGGGTACAGAGGTCGTTAGCAATAGGAAGTATGTGCTGTTGTATTTTTTCCATTCCTTATTAGAGTATAGTGGTTAACTGCAAGTTTTATAATTTTTAAATGTGTATCAATATGGGCAAAACATTCAATTATATTTAATAGTATTTATATGGCGATGCTGAATCATAAAATAAGAGAAAGTAGCATAACTTTTAACGTTTCTTTGAACAATTGTTGAAAGTGTGGTACATTTTCTGTCGTGCCCCTTGGCTGCACCGTTGATTGTGCAGGCGCGCTGCTGGTCCTGCGCCCGGGCCCACCGTCCAGCCGCCGCCCGCAGCGTCTCCGTTCAAGACGCCCCCGCCCGGCCCCGCTCCCGCCAAGCGAGCGCGACTCGCCAAGGCCGCCCCCGGGCCACGGCAGGCCCCTTGGGAGGGAGCTGCGAGAGCCGAAGCTCGCGGCCGCTCGAAGAGGAGCACGAACGTTCCGGTTGCTCCCAAGGCACCCCACGCCTACACGCACCAAGTGGGCGGTTTCATCAACGCCAATGTCTGCGCTCATTACGCCGCCGGTCAGGTGGATGCTCGGGCGCGTGCCCACGCTCCCGCCCACGCTCCCGCCAGCGCCAGCGCCAGGATGTTCTGTTTCGCGCCCGGCGGCGCCGTGGAGCCGGTGGGCGCGCGCCCGTGGCACGTGGTCGTGGAGCGCGAGGGAAGCACGTGGAGGCACGAGGGCGGCGCGGGCGCGGGCGCGGGCGCGGGCGGGCACGACTGCGCGCTGTGCGGGCGCGCCTTCGAGCTGGCGCCGCATCTCGTGCTGCACCTGCGCGCGCAGCACGGCGTGGAGGCCGCGCTGGTGCAGGCGGGGGCGGCCGTGGCGGTGATGGCGCCCCTCTACCTGCCCGCGCCCACCCCCGCGCTCGCGCCGCCCTCTGCGCACCCCACGCACGCCTGCTAGAAACGCAATGTACCTTCATCTTTTTAACATTTTAAAGCAAACTATTTTCGGTTATATGGTGTTAAATATATATTTTAATGGTAGTTGTGATAGAACAGTACCTGCTGCTGTAGTCAACTGTGTTTAGAATTATCAAGTATTAAGAAAGGTACCTGAAGTTATTTCAAACGGTCTTAAGATCAAGTAAAAGGAAAAGAACTTGCAGTTGCTGCTCACTGCATTAAGAATTATAGAGCTATTCAGAAAGTATCCGATGATCTTATAACCGGAATTAATTTTTAAGTATTAAGACATATTACCAAACGGTATTAGCAATTTGACAACTTTCTTGTCCCAGAACAGGAATGAAGATACTTGTGTAATTAAAATGAACCCGGTAGTTAGTTTTGCAATTTTCATATATTTTACAAAACTTTTAGAATTCTAATACTTTTAAAATTATAATATTTCCGGTAACGAGCATTTCTCCAAAGAATATCTAAAGTATAATACTTATAAAATTAGAACAAAAAAAATCATTTACAAGGAGATTTTTACAGTAAATTAATGGCTGTAATAGCCTGAACAGATTCCCTAAGATAAGTTTAGTACACGATCGTCAATGGTTATATAAACTGGTGTACATTATGGTTGCGGATATGACATTTTTAATTACAATATTGTTTTAGAATATCTAGTCTTTTAAACATCTCATCAATTAGTATGTATGAAAAAAAATCCATATTTTTAAGTAAATTTTTAAATTGATATTAATAAATAAAATTATTTACAAAGTGATTGTAAATTATTGAATTTATTTCTACTCCTGCATCCTTAGAAGGTAAGAAGAGGTTACATAAACTTGTCAGAATGAGTGAGGTTAGATGTTAAAAGCAATAAGATGTAATAGAAATGCGAATGTGAAGAAACTATTACGCAAATGTAAATAATTGAAAAGGTTCTTCAAAGTCTCTATGCAAGACTCCACTTTGCGTTATTTTGTTCACACTAAATCTTAACGCAAGAGGAGAACACTTAAAGTAAAAACCGTGAACTTCTGAAATGATGTGTGTAACAGGGTTCGTCCATTAATGCACTTAAATAGTACGTTGTACCAAATATTGTAAAAACTTTCCATTAAATAACAAAAATTTCCAAATTTCGAAACAAATAAGTTTATCATTGCAATTCAACGGGAGGAAAAAGAAATGAGCTTCCACAAACAAATTTATTAACTATTAGTCAGTTGCACCATTAGATATATTTCGAGGTATTTTACCTCATCTTCAGTGCCTCCACAGGATATTAAAGAAAACTTAAAAACTACGAAATGTAAACATCAAAACTGTAAAAATAATGAATAACGCTTTTAAAAAAACTTAAAATTTTATTTACCCAAGTAACATGGTCATCATGATTCGTGGTGCCATTTTGTGCATTGTTCTGTGGGGCAGGGGGAGGGCGGCCTACTAAAGTATTATATCCGCACGTTTTCTTGATACCCGGAATATCTACCCCACTCCTTTCCCAACATTATTGGATTAAGAATAAATGATTGCAACGAGCGTTGTAGACAAAATCTGGTAACGAGAAAGTCGCTCCCGAGTATGATTACTGATGATGACTGAGTATGAGTACTGATTTGCATGGAAAAATGAACTACAAATTTGACGTAAAATTCCCTTTGTCAAAATAACTAAACTTCCCACTCCTCTCGCATCTAGCGAAGTGAGGGCTCAAGAAAACGTACGCGGATAATACTTAGTAGGTGGCTGAATTTCAAATTAGTTTGGTCGTTGAGGCAGTCAATTTTAGGATTTTTTACTAGTTTTAAAAGTTCAAAGTTTTTTAAAATGTTGAATTTTGGACCTTTGTATTATAAATGTAATATCTTAAAATTTGTATTATGGTCAAAAGTGTGATTGTTTTCTAGGAGATGAGAGGTAAAAGTAGAGTGCTCTTGTTGTAATCTCAGTGCACGAATATGTTCTTTGATTCTGCAAGAATAGATATAGAATCCCTATAGATTTTTAGGGAAAATTTAGTTCAATTAATTTCTTTTCTTTTTGATTGAATTGAAGATTTTATCTATGATAAATCTCACTCAAAATTTAATTGACTATGACAAAACAATATGTCAACATTCCTTATTTCGGTCATGTATCTCAAAGGATATCTGGTTCCTCAAAAAACAAAATATTTAAGTGTCGTACAAGACCATCAACAAATTTAAAAAATCTATTCAACAACAAACATACTGTTCTCAAAGGTGAAAAAAGTGGACTATATACACTGAATTGTAAGGACTGCAACTCAGCCTATATTGGACAAACTAGTAGGAAATTCTCTGGCAGAATCAAAGAACATACTCGAGCATGGAGATTACAACAAGAGCACTCCACTTTTGCCTCTCATCTCGTTGAAAACAATCACACTTTTGACCATAATACAAATTTTAAGATATTACATTTATAATAGAAAGGTCCGCAATTAAACAATTTACAAAATTTTGAAATTTTAAAACTAGTAAAAAATCCTAAAATCGACAGCCTCAACGACCAAACTAATTTGAAATTCAGCCACCTACTAAGTATCCTAGAAGGCCACTATCCCCCTCCCTCAGAGAACAGTGCACGAAATGGCACCGACTAAGAAACACACCACGAATCATGATGACCATGTTGCTTGGGTAAATAATATTTTGTAAGTTTTTTAATAGTGGTTCTGTTATTTATTAGTTTTACAATTTTTGTGCTTACATTTTGTAGTTTTGTTTTCTTTTTTGTCATGTAACACTGAAGATGTAAAATATCTTGAAACGTGTCTGTCTAATGCTGTAACTGACTAATAGTTAGTTAATACATTTGTTTGTGGAAGATAATTTCTTTTTCCTCCCGTTGTATTACAATTATGGAGTTCCACAATATTTCTGCGAAAACCACCGAGATTATTTAAGTTTATGGTTTTGAGTTACGGTTTATAATGGCGAGGCATTTTTTTAGGGAAAAAAGTTGTGCGAGCAGAGTTGTTCTCGTTTATTATTTACGACATTTTAGCTCATTTCTAAATCAACAAAAGATGGTCTTGTAGGCCTTTCGAAGCATTAATTGAGTCATCGTAAAATGGAGAGAATGTCAGAAAATTCGTTTTCGTATTGGATTTGGAAACTGCACAGGCAGTGTTATGATCTTCAGATCTTGAAATAAAGATTCTATTGGGAGCTTTGGTCTAATTGGTCTATTCTGTTAAGGTTTCTCTGTATTTGAGACGATTAATATGAGTAATATTTGGAGTATAAACTTGGTCATGTCTATGGCATGCTATCGATGATTTGGGAGACTAGTGTCAAGGATAGTGTAAAAGGTTAGAAGCTAAAAATACTGTCTGTAGATTAGAATGTAATGATTGCGAATTAACCTACCGTCGACAATAAAAAAGTAAAATTACAACCAAACTATTGGAGCATCGTAGAAATATTGAGTTAAATCGTAGACTAAGGGAGCCTGCACACGAGCATTTCGTTGACTCTCTATAATCAGCACTCATCGTAGAATAACACTACCTAATACGAAACGGCACACGGCCGCTTTGAGGCACAAAATGGTGTCAATCCACGACGCGTGTTACTAATCGCGTGTCAAGGCATCGCTCGTGTGACACAGGCCTACAGATCTTAGATATAAACTCAAAATATATAAAATATTAATTTCTGAGACAATGTATATCAAAATTAATAATACAATGAACATCAGTTTGGAAAACAACACTTTTACAGGGGTGTGTGATACCATAAACCCAAAGTTCAAGGAAAATCGGTTCGAAACCTTAACTCTTTTATTTCCCCTTTGCATTTTCCTCTATCACTCCTGAGCTACCACTGCTACTTGCCCTCTACCACTCGTGGCCTCCCGTTCATACCTCCTTAGCCTTGTTGAAACCGACTGGTCTCCACTTACAAGCTCTCACAACTCGTCAGTATTGTGACCTGATTTTCACCTCCGTGAAAAATCTATCCAATGTGCGACGATATTTTTGAAGTGATTTCGATTCAGTGAAAGCGCTTTGTAGTCTTGGCGTAAGCTAAGACGTTATGACACCAAGGTCATGACTTGGTGCACAATGTCGCTACTTTCCTTATGTGTGGCGCAAAAATTTCCTTTTTATCTATGGTAAGATTTTAGGGTTGAGGTTTGTCAAAGCGCTTTGGGAACGACGCGGGAGGTTTTCTTCCAACGGAAGGCAATGCATGGAGAAGAGAAACCGCATCAACTATACTGCACCAAGAAGGTATTCAAATGTTTTCCTTTGTTTTCTTAAAATTCTTTTTACAGTAAATTAATCTCTTCGATTTTAATAATTCTAAATAAGTGATATTATTAGCTTTTGTAAAGCTCATTTTTTATTCTTGGCGAGTAAGTGTTAAATCCTCCTGTCTTACGTCCCACACGTTGCAAAATTAAACTTTCCGAAGCTTGTTTTTGTGCTCAGGACAATTAGTTTCATACTTTGCATATCTCTTTAAACGGCTATGGGTGAAAACATGTTTAAACCACATACGGACAACAACGCAGATGAAGTGAGGTGCCCATTTCTTATCCTGATCTTCAACTGTCATTTTAAAATATCTCTGGTAGGCTGGATTTATTCTCTGCGATGCTGCTTTAGAGTTATTTTTCGCTCTTGTTTAGACAATTTCATCACAGACACAGCAAACTATGGATAGGCCTGATTTAAGAATTGCTGGACGCCAAGCACAAAATTGTGTCTCTGCCCGTAAAAAACCATTACTTTTACCAAATATAATATTTTCATTATTTGCTTCTTACTAAGATAGATTTTTTAATTTCCCGTATACGTACGTATATACGGAGTAATCTAATATGTAATGTATATAATGCTACGGAAAATGGATTTCGAGATTTCAACGGAAATACACGATTTGGGGTACTCTGGTACCGAAAAAGTATTTTTTTCAATACGTCCGTCAGTCCTCCTGTCGGTGTGTCCGTCTGTTCTTCGGT